CTGCAAGTTCAAGCCGAGGCCACCAGCTCGAGTTGAGCTAAGAGATGAACACGTGGCCCAAGGAGGAGGGCATCCACGAGATAGATTGCCAAAATTGATGCCCCCGGTTAATGAAGGACTCACAGAAGGAATATGTTGGTGTCATGATTGAGCGGGTCGTTGAATCGGTGCATTGCCGACTGACGGTCCTCCAAAGAGGTTGACCCGTCCAACCTGAACCACTGCAGGCCTTTGTTCTCTAAGAACTGTTCAAGGATGTCAAGTAGGCAGGTCATCTGTGAGAAAATGAGAACCTGAGGACGTTTGGATGGTCGAGGAACATGTATCAAGGAGACCAACTTTATGGTTGAAATGCAGCAGCTTAGGCACTAGACGGTCGAGGAGTTCAAACTTCCCACTGACACGCACAAGGTCGTCGTTGATGTCGTATTCGTCAAGAAAGAGGTATGGGTGCTGGGCCATCTTGCGGAGTTGCATGCTGACCTGCTCAGATCATCTTTGCTGGAGCCACCTCCTTCGAAGCGACCAGGACGGTACATTCCTAAGAGCGACTTTCTGCTCCCCATGTCCACCGCACAGAGCTCTTTGCATGATTTGATGCATACCCCTCTCCTGCCACGCCGAGAGAGGTACCCAAACGAGATGTTCTATCTTCTTAGGGAGGGTGGCCTTCTCGCGGCTAGATGCCTCCATTATGGTCGGGTCGCCAAAGACCTGCCGACTTTATGTGATAGGTGTAGTAGTTCACTATCGTCCACCTGGGACTTGGTCCTTCTTAGTAAGAATGGTTGTAGCATTGTATGCAGTTTGTGGAGCACTAAGAGCTGCTCCTCTTGCGTCAATGCACTTGCTGATGCTGCGTCACTCATGGAGGGTTCACCTATTCCTGATAGTTCGATAACAACAAGCTGTTCAATATCTGTTCAAGCGCCCGCAGCAATACGGAGAGACCGTTGTTTTGGTCTTCTCACCAGCATGACCTTCAAAAGGCTTGCTGAACCACTCAGCAAACTTGTCCGCATCAGTGAAGACTTTAGGAAGTAGGAATTTGAGAAGTGCCCAGAGTTCAGTGAGGGAGTTCTGTAGAGGTGTACCAGTAAGAAGGAGTCTAAGGATTGAACGGTACCCGATGGCACCAGCCGGGAGAGCATACCTATGCCGAGCTGGTATGGACGATACGCCTATATGAAATCTGCTGAGGTGATTCTTTATCTTGTGGCCCTCATCTATGATCACGTACCTACTCAATGGTCTCGCCCTCGGTAGAGAAGGCTTGCCTACGTCCAGTGGACTTTGCTCAAGGTCTTAGTCTCTCTGATGAGGATCTCCGGTGTGGTCAGACAGACATCATAGTTCACATCAGGAGCTACTCCCCGGCTGTGCAACCTGCCGTCCACTTCATATGATCGAGCCACTGCAGCAAGGGCATCTACACTCTCGCTATTTGCCTTCGAGTCGTGAGGTCTCCTCGCAGGACGACGACTCTCGCTGATGGCAACCATTTCTTGAACTCGGCTATCCAATTGGGCAGCGTGGACAGAGGCACCTTACGACCACGTCTGTCTACGACAGCTACTGCATCGTCGTACCACGATCAAGTAACGATTCAAGTCGCTGAGGTCCTCCTTGGTCGGGCCGTCTCTCATCAAGGACGCTATGAGGGCTATCACTTGTATGGTCTTACCGAGTCTGGTCGGAGGTCTCCTCGAGAAATCATTTTCAAGACCTACCCCATCTCGTCTGCAAGAATGCCATTAAGCTTATTGAGCTTGAGACTTCTGAGCCAACGCAGACCTTGTAGTTGATGTGGTAGTAGATTGCAACCCTGAATGAGACATGGACACTGGAAATGCGCTGCATGCAGGGATCGAACCCACGTTAGATAAATTAGCAGGCTGTACCACTGTATCCTCACGGAGTTGATGGAGAGCATCATGGTAATCAACCACGCCTGTTACTCGACATCCTTCCTTCTCCTACGAGGACTCTCATAAACATCAGCTGCCTGGAGCAGGTAACACCTGGTCGTCCCGAACCTTGTCACCAAGCTCACTAAGGAAGCTGTCCGTCTGCTCTAGTAGCTCCTGCATGGATGAAGTGGCGGCCAAGCCCTCCACCAATCATCAGTGAGTCTCACCACAAGTTTCTTGTTTTTGGACTCTTTGATCATCTTAACGTATTCTGCATAGTTGTTCTCGCGTAGGAGTTTCATTCGTTTTGCCTCCTGCTTCCGCTCCCATTCCTCTTGCCTACATCCAACGGACCGCATGCCCAAGACTAGCTGCTTGACTCTTTACGCTTTCCGTATCAAAGCCGTCACTTGTTTGCATTGTACAGCGAGTTGGGTCATCAAGTGACGTTCCCATTGCCATCGCTGTCGCAAGTCGTCACCATGCTTCACCACAGCTGGGATGACCACGGACTTATAAACTCTCTCTGCAACAGTCTGTCTGGTTTCCCTAGGAAATTGGATCTTCTCGGTGAGCTTCCACAATGACCGCAGCTCCTCCGCTTTAGAAGGTATCCACTTTATATACTGGGAACGATTCTCCTAGAGTTCACCAATGTCTATTGATGAGTGGACGAGAAGCTTACAGGAGTTCTGAAAGCTCTGCAGGCAGCGGCAAGCACAAGGTCACGCCTCCAGTGGTGCAAGGCCGCTAGAGATGCTGTGAGGTCCCCACTGCTGAGATCTTCCTCAACAAGGCTGCATGCTTCATACCAGCATGGGATCCTGAAGGGTTGCAGAAGGAATTGATGAGAAGCTCAAGATTGAAGTGACCTCAAGTCTGGCTTGGACTGCAGCCAAAGCCGGCAAGCATCGCCTGCATCGGCTCTGCCACTGGGAAGTCGCCGTGCTTTGATGACTTTATCCTGCAAGTTCCAGTCTATCGCTGAGATTCCCATCAAAGGGCTCAGCAGATCCACTGCATCATCGTCTGTGTTGGTGTCGGAGGAGTTGGGATTAGACATTTAGCAAAATAGTGGGAGAGTTTCTCTTGCTTCCGGCAGCATGCTGAGGGCAAGGGCTCGGTTAAACACTAAGGTGATTTATGACCAGAGACCATGTAAGTGATGGACAGCAGCTGAGCAGTTCAGATGATACAACAGCAGTATCTCGTCTTCAATATCCTCCACATAAACGCACCTAGGAGCACCAATACATGAAGCTCGAATGAATATCTTTCATTATCTTTTCTCGTGGACTCACGAACAGAATCAGACAGAAGCTAAGAACTCCAGTTCATGTATCTTGCCGTGTCCAAGCACATTAGTTTCAGTGAAGACCAAGTCGACATCGTCGTTACAGACCTGTGGAACAGTACAGCCTCCAACGCTCGGCCGAAGCTCTGTCAAGCTATACATTATGAAGAGCCTGTTCCAACCTCGAAGCCGTTGTTGACTGCCAATGCAGGCATTGCCTATTGTAGGGACCCTATGTGGGCCCTGGTACCCGATTAGTGATGTCATTCATGGTCCTATCCCCATCGGCTTGCTGAATTCTACGATGGGAAGCTAAGCTTCCGAAGCTTCCATCAGTTCGATGAATCACGAACTGTAGTTAATACAACGAGTTGGGTGTGAGAAGCAAGATCACTAGACGCATATTGACGACTCCAAAAAGCCAAGCAGCATACCATCCTCAGCATAGCAAGACGATAAAGACATCGACAGGAGGCTAACACGGTATGACACCAACCACCGCGGAGCGGCGAGCAATACTTCTGCCCTCCTCCCTCACTATGATATCTCATAGCGACTGTGTTTCCGAGAGGCATTCGTGGAAGCCACGTTCACTGTTCTTGATTCTCCAACCCCAAGCAGTAGAGGACCCCACCAGTCTAAGAGGCAGTTTATGAAGGATTGACAAAGCAAGAGGAGTGTGTGGAAACTCAGCAAGTGCTACAGCTAACTATCACAACGAATGCGCTGGCACTAGGCGGAGGCCACCATATCGTCCTCATCAGTGTACGTCGGCAAGGGCTCCGACTCGATGTAGGCCATCAACCATTTGAGGTTGGTCAGGAGGTACTTCATTGCCTTCGTCCACCTACCATAGCTGATGACACCACCTAGCCGCATCCTGTGCTCACCGCTCCTCTTGATTGAACTGCAGTGCCACTGAGAAGCCCCCAACCTTGTCCCCTTCTATACTAAAGGGCAGTCTGCAACAGTCATCAACGACCTCCAGTAGGTGCCTCACTGGGATCCCCCCACCTCAAGGGTTGACTCCGGAAGCGCTCCGAGAAAGTACAAACCTCCTGCACAACATTGACATACGCACACATGCCAGCATCGAACCTGAGTAGCCGCATGGGGTCCGGCCGAAGTGAAACAGGGACTTCCGCACTGAAGTCTATAGACTGCATGCCATTCAGCGTAAGAAGAAGCAGATGAATACTCATATGCATGGCCCTTGTTGTCCGTATTTGCAGTACGCGTATCGCCAAACACGACCTACCACTATCTATTCCCTAGCGCCTCCCCTCCGGACCATCACTCAGTGAAACACCACCAGTAGGTGTGTCAATGTCGTCTTTGAATGTCGAACGGAGCGCAGCCTGTTCTCCCACCCCTTCTTACTTTCGTCCCGTAAAGAATCTTGCGAAGCCTCCATCACTAGTGTATAGGTCCATCATCGTGTTGTCGGCTTTTCGCAATATCGCTGAGCACGAGCCTCTAGGCAGTAGACGATAGGCCGAAGGGACGCCTACTCGACTGAAGGCCAGCAGTGAATGATGCACCGTTGAAGTGATAGAAACTCACCGCACTATAACGTCGAGTAGGAGGGCCATTTGCCCCCACCCCACGTTGATCTCGGACCACGGTATTTGATAGTCATGAACCCTGCCCATGCGGAATCCATTGATGCTACCAAACGGTCCGGAGTGCCTACACCAGTGCGCCTGCGTGCAACTACACTCCTCCCCTCTCTCACTGACCAGATCCTGAAGGCCATGGCCAAGACGCTGGTCCTCTTCAATCGAGATATCTCAGCACTGGTGTACTCAACTTGAGCTTTCACACTACCGGAAGTCTCCTCGTGTCTAACCAACTCCACCTGACCAGAACTGGCCGAAGAGCTCCACCAAGCAGCTGCTCACAATGTAGTCATTAGTCTCCTTATGAAGGTGCGCTTCCCGTCGTAATTGGACTCGAGCCTCGGCCTCCTCCTGCTCCAGACGAGACTCTAGCTGCTTCGATGTCTCCCTCAGCTCCTCCAGCTCCTTCTCCATGCTAGCCACCTGCCCAGACTCCTACCTAGGCATGCACCATCCCTAGGGTACCTCAACCTCGAGGGCCTCAACTTCATCGTCAGTCCCCGTCTCGTCCTCCTTAGGTAACTCCTGTTCCAACTCGGCCAAGGCTAGCTCAGCCTCGGCCAACTCCGCCCGTCTCAGCGCCAGCTCCCTCTGCCATAAGGCCACTACCTATCCCAAGACCTCTGACACACTAATCGCTACCAGGCAGCTCACATCCATCGCACAGGGTTCACACAGTGGAACACTAGTATCCTTTGCCCGAGCTTCCGGGGGTAATACAAGGGCAAAGGCGCTCCCAAGTAGGCTCAGTCGCTGCACTGAGCTCAGGTTGTTCCCCTGAATACCACACCAGCAGCAGCTCATCTCTCATAAGCCTTCATCGGAACCTTACCTTCTCAAGAGCCTCCCGTAATGAGGTGCTCCTCGAATCCTCCTCCTCTGCTGCTGTTGCTGTTGTTGCCTCTGCTATCCTATCCTCCAGGTCCCTCACTGCTGCCTCGGCCTTCGCCTGATACAATTGCCCATCCCTGCATAGCAATGCACCGTCCCACACCTGCTTCACTTCAGTGTCGTATTCCACCACCTCCAACTTAGATTGGCATCGAGTACAGAGCTGGTGCACTAGACATTCAGCAGCAGGAGCATCAGCAGCCTCCTGCTCTGCTGCTGGTGGTGAGGGCTGTGACATGACGACAACAGACAGCGAAGGCTTAATTGACTCAACACAGAACGATCACAGCGACTAGAGCGAATTCACGGTTTTTGAAAAGGTATATTGCTCAGCAATTATTAATGCAATCATTGGCTACTCCACTTCGGCTTACTCTGCCGCATCTTGAATTCAGCCATCTTGAAAGCGTGGTCTATCTGAGGGTTCTTCCGGTCTATCTCCTGCGCCTTGCTCAAACACTCGCATGCTCCGCTGAAGTCACCTGCAGACCCAGCACTAGAGCATAATCAACCCCTGCAGCAGGGGCCCGCCGCTGCCGAGTACCTCTGCCATGGCGAGCCATGCCTGCCCGGAACCAGGACTTAGCCTTGATACGGTCAGTTGCCCCCTCGAGCTGAGCCGCCTTCAAAGCATCACTTTCGGCCCTAAACCAATGATGCTACTTGCAGACCTTGTCCCCCATCCTACTTCTCAAAGTCCCCAAGCTTGAGCCAACACTGGGCCCTGTTGGACAGGGCTACCGCCATTGTTGAGTCGTGGTCCAGAGCGTTGGTGTAGAATACAACTGCCTGCATGAAGTCGCACTCCTTGAAGGCATCATTTCCTATAAGGCACGTTACCACACACCACAAAGCGGTGCCCATTACCAAGGTCCTTCTGAGATTCCGCTATGTCCTTCTCCGCAGAAGGCTTCGTGCTAGTACTCTCTCCAGCGTCCATCACTGGTAGTTGGTCCCGGCCAAACCGCTGCATCTTATCGCTCTTCACCTTACCGTGCTCATCAGCTTGGCTCAACACCTGCTCGGTCCTCGCGGTCTCGGCAACCTCAGCGCCATTGACTTTCAACGCTGTACAGTTGCTACTGCATACTCTCACAGCCCCAGCAATGGACACATTCTCACAAGCATCACATTGGACCGTCTCCGCCCCTTTGAGGAGACTTAGAGAGGCCTTCTTGCAGGACCAGAGCTCGGCGGTCTGTGTTACAATTTCGCTGTGTACTAAGACTTGGCAGTCCTCGAACTCCTCGATGAACAACTTGAGTATTTTATCCACTTCGACATGGACAATTCGAGCCTTTACTCCTCGCAGCCTCAAAGCCTTCCCTGCTAGAGCTGCGTCTGATACGCGAATGACAC